CCTTCCTTCTTTCTGGTGTGTTTCCCTGAGTCCTTTTACTTACTTTCCTTGCTCCATTCTCAAGAAGAGATGACCCCTAAAGCTTCATTTTCCTTGCCTTCTAGGGGCATCTGTAATGTGGGGGTCAAAGTGGAGATGTTCCCCATGGTTCAGATAAAGAGGAGTGCACTGTTTCCTAAGGCTGATGCCAGAAGCAGAGTTCAGAGCCAGGAACCCAGGTTCAGAATCCAGACTGCCTGCTTCTAACATTTGAGCAAGTAAGCATGTCCTCGCTCTGAGCCACTGACTCCTTATTTATGTTTTAAAAAGGGGTTGGACTAGACCCCCTCTAAAGGCTGTTCTGATATAACATGCCCTGACTCTGATTTCATGTATTTTTGTGAAAGAGTTAAAGCCTGGAAGAGGGAAAGTGGCACCTCACTAGCATTTATGTTTTTTCCCCTTTCTCTTTTTAAAAATAAAACCAGCCTCTGTTCTGAAAATAAAAAACTTGACTTGTGACAAGCTTCCTGTGTGGTCTGTTTTAAGATCTTTCCTGTCCTGGTTTCCTTACTAAATTCTTAAATGTCACTGTGACATCTGTCACCATTTTATATATTTGTGTTAACATTATGAGTATACCTTGGCTATTTCCTTCTAGACAGTGGCATGCTACTCAGGGAGACTGTGGCTTTGGCCTTGACCTGGTGGGTGTCTAGCCAGGTTTTCTGTAGGCAGAATTAACTTAGATGTAGCCTGAAAGTGATTTCCCCAGCCACCCAGAACCTTCTCTCTCATTTCTTTCTAAAAATAATTTACCAAAGGGGGAAAGACTGAGAATTTTTTAAAAAAATGTATCTTTATTATTGAAAGTATTACAGATGTCCCCCATTTTCTCCCATTGATCCCCTCCACCCTGCATCCACCCCACCCCCAGTCCTTCCCCATACCATTGTCTGTGTCCATAGGTTATGCATATATGCATATAAGTTGAGAACTAATTTTTAAATACCCTGCCCTCCTCTATTACTCTTTCCCCTTCAGAAGCATGAACCCTTATGTATGAATGAGAACAAAGTCACTTTGGGGGGAGTTTTATTATTTTTTAACACAAAGGGGACTGTGAAGTCCAAGACAGAACACTGAGTCTGAATGAAAGTACAATTATAGTTTTTCTTTAGTACAGAGACAGCCAGCACTTTTCAAACTATTCTGTGTTGTTGCCCTACGATGCTTCTGGCCATTGCAAAGTTACAGCATGGTCAGAGCCTGGTCATAAGCTTTCTTTGCCTCGAACTTGCTGTGGCTTTGGGTCCTCACCTGTCCTGGAACGTTTTCATCACTTATAAAAGAGGAGCAGTATTACCTACCTCACAAGACTGTGGTAAGAATTAAATGAGGTGACATGTGCAAAAATGGTCCTTTTCCTCAAGACATTTATAACCATGAGGGGATAAAATTTACACAGGAAATAATTACTGAACAACCTAAGGCCATACCTTCATTTCTTCCTAAATCTAGATGTAAAAATGATTAGTTTGAATAAGCATGTTATAAATATTCATACATTTCTCATAGTTAAGCATGCCAGTTCTCATCAATTTAGGTCAGCTGGAGCACGTATGTATATGTATATATATATTTCATCCTCAGCCGAGGATAGTTTTTCTATTGCTTTTCAGAGAGAGTGGGGGAGAGAGACATCACTGTGAGAGACATCGATTGGTTGTCTCCCGCACACACCCCGACCAGGCTGGTGATAGAGCCTGCAACTGAGGTGCAAGCCCTTGACTGAAACCGAACCCGGTACCCTTCAGTCTGTGGGTCAACGCTCTAACCACTGAGCCAAACTGGCTAGGGCTGGAGCATATATGAAGGTACTTTGTGAAAAGTGAAGAATTACAGGTGTGGTCTAGTTATGAATAGACAGTGCTAGGACCACACTTGGGCCTTGCCTGAGGGTTGAACCTGATATTGCTGTTCTGGCTCTAAAAAGGAGCGTGGAAATATATGTTGCGCTTGATCGTGTCAGGCCCTTGATGCACATTGGCTTATTTTATTCTCACAGCCACATCAAGTTAGCTTTGTTTTCATTTTCCTGAGGTCCAGAAAGACAGAGAAGCTTGCTGAATGCCACACCCTAGTCAGGGAATACAGATCTGAACCCAGGTGTGTCTACTTCCAAAATCTGAACCCCAGGCAGCCTTGACTTTAGCTGTTAACAGGCCGAACTTATCCTTCATTGAAGCTGTGCAGTTCTGGCTAAAAAGCAGGGGATGATTTTCATATTCTGTTTGAGTGCCATGGAAGAGGCTTTGAGCAAAAGACAATTGGAGAGCACTAGCCGGGTGACTTGGTTGGAGCACCATCCCATGCATTAAAAGATTGTGGGTTCAATTCCCGTCAGGGCACATACCTAGTTTGGGGGTTTGGTCCCTGGTTGGGGTGCCCATGGGACACAATGCATTGATGGTTCTCAAAAAAAAAAAAAAAAAAAAAAAA